CCCATAGATGGACCGTTTGACAGCATTTTTTAGACTGTCAAAAAGTTTTAAACGTCGAAAACCTTGTATATCCAGGTTGGTTGTTAAGATTTAAAACCTCGCTGATCATGATGATATGATGGGTTCCTTGTGTTAATTTTCCAGATCTATCAAAATTACATCAAAGAGATAAAAAATAACGTTGGAATTATTTTCTAAGAAATTAAACAACATTTTCCATTTGACGTTTGTCGTTTTAAATTTGTATAGTCCAGAAACTGAGACCCTGTATCTTATTTATTGCATAATGGCCATTGTTGTTCATAACAACAACATGTATTTATTAGTGGTTCTAATTTTTTGCGAGGTTATGACTTCTCTGCATGTATGACACTTCTAGAATTGCTGATCTAATAAATCTCTTAAGACATTATTCGATTATGATTTTAAAAATCATTAAAACTATTAAGGTTTGGTTAAAAAAATTCATTCTAACCATGGTAACATTGCTGAAGGTAGAACAAAGCTATTCTCTAAATATTTTTTTTTACTTTGGGTGGCCCTCTTATGTCAAAACTGTATGCTGTTTGTATATGTGTGTATATTGTTTTGAATAAAACAGAAAATAATTTAAAATTATTTCAAATTTCGAGATAACAGAAATGCATATGTTTCGCTTTAACAACCATCAAAATGTATATCGATTGAAGAGTTCTCTATATTGGTTTCTTGGCGATTTTAGATATAACAATTGCTCTGTTCCAGAACCTACTACCTTTTCAAAAGTTGTCAGTCAAAAGTTGATTATCATGCAATTTGAAGCTGTAGTGGGATTCTCTAACATTTTTTGCAGTTACCGACAAAAATCGGTAACTTTCAGACGATAAATCGGCAAATATCGCTAATTACCGAAATTTTAAGCATATGGAAATTTTATGTTATCGATTATATTCGGCAATTCATTCGATAACTAGTTACATTACTGAACCTCCTGAACTATGGATCTGTGATTTCAAAAACACTTCTGGGAAAAAGGTTTTAATCTATAACTTTCGCATATATATTCACTGCATCCAATTAAAGGTAGTAATTGCTGATATACTTTTTTTCGCTCATATACTATACCTCTGTTAGTTTTAGCATCCATACAGCTGTTTGTATGTTAAATGCCAGACTAGGGGAATTTTCATTGAAGACTCTTTCTCATGCAAAAAAAAAAAATATTGGTTGTAATGGTATTCCTTTTGTAATTTATTGAAATAATAGGGTCCTACGTTCTGGTGTAGACCTCCGATTTTAGGATTATAGAAATAAATATGACACACACATTTTCTTATGTTTTCATATACTCATGGTGTTGGCCATCAAAAGTTGTTCAGTGTGAATAAAATGACTTTTAACTTTTTTATATGAAATTTGAAGTTTGGTCTATGGAGGGTTATTAACCTTGTAACTCCTCGAAATACTCATGTTAGACCCAACAAAATATATATATATTCTTGACCAGCGTTAAATTCTAAGTCTATTTAGCAATATCCGTCTGTCTGTTATAATCACGCTATCTTTCGAACGAATTGAGATAGAATGCTAAAATTTTGCACACATATTTATTTTCCAGTAGGCAGGTTAAGTTCGTAAATAGGCCATGTAGGTCTACGTCTTCGTATAGCCCCCATATAACGGTACCTCCCGATATTCGGTATTTTGATAGTTTTAACGACATTATTCACCGGACTTGTTTCAAATTTGGCATTTGGAGTTCGTAATGGATACTACAGCCTAAGACAAAAAATTGTCTGTGTACCTCCCTATATTCGGTATTTTGATGATTTTAGCGACATTATTCACCGGAATCGTTTCAAATTTGGTATTTGAGGTTCCAAGGGGATACTGCAGGCTAAGACAGAAAATTGTCTGTGCAGGTCCACGTCTTCATATAGCACCCATATAACGGTACCTCCCGATATTCGGTATTTTGATGATTTTAGCGACATTATTCATCGGAATTGGTTCAAATTTGACATTTGAGGTTCGAAGGGGATACTGCAGCCTAAGACAGAAAATTGTCTGTGCAGGTCCACGTCTTCGTATAGGCCCTATATAACGGTACCTCCCCATATTCGGTATTTTGATGATTTTAACACCATTATTAACCAGAATTGTTTCAAATTTGGTATTTGAAGTTCGTGATGGATACTACAGCCTATGACAGAAAATTGTCTATGCAGGTCCACGTCTTCATATAGCCCCCATACAACGGTACCTCCTAATATTCGGTATTTTGATCATTTTATCGTCATTGTTCGCCAAATTACGTATTTAGAATTCGTAACTTTCTGTGACAGAAAATTGTCTATGCATGTCCAGGTCTTCGTATAGGCCCCATATATCAGTACCTCCCTATATTCGGAATTTTGACGAGTTTGGGTACAATACCCACCGGTCCACGTCGTATAGACCCCAATAAAATGGCTATATTCGGTAATTTTAAAAATTAAACAGAAATTTTTAAGGATTTTATTTTTTGAAAATTTCCAAATTCGTTCCAAATGGTGGAGGGTATTTAAAGTTCGGCCCGGCCGAACTTACTGCTTTTTAACTTGTTTTCACTTCTCTTATGCAAACCACACACGATACAACTGATTGTACAACTTGGAGAATACTCAAATTGTGTGTTTCGGTCGCATATGATACAACTTAGTGTACAACCTCTTTGTTCAACTTCACTTTTCGTAGAGTTTATTTGAGTTAAGATGACACTGGAAAAAATTCAGGCTCTTTAATTGACTCAATAGCTTTTATTTATTATTAATATTTGAAATTCCATTCATATACATTAAAATTACACATTTGATTGGATTTCGTATTGTTTTGATGTGCGAAACAATGACTTTGCCTCTTCAATAATAAACACAAAATTAAATTGTATGCGACATGCCCACAAACGTTACAACCTGTTGGTACAACATGCCAAATATCAAAAAATTTTGAGACACAACTTCGTACAACTGGGCCACAAACGATACAATCTTGAATACAACCTCTCCAAGTTTTACAATCAGTTGTATCGTGTGTGGCTTGCATTAGAGAATGTTGAAGTCAAGAAAGAATATAATATAAAGAAGAAAACTAAAATATTAGCCTCATAAGTAATATAAGACTTGATTTTAAAATGTTTGAATTTTGTTTTAATGAATCATTTTGCTTCGTTAAATCAGACCAGCGGGTTTTTCAATTTGATTAATTTTATTGACGATTTTTTGAGAACGGAAATTGCAGGCGGGTTACATTGAATTGTAGTATCGAATTTTGTAGTAGCGAAACTGAATAGATGATGTCGAATTAATTTAACGCGGTCACACATAAGCTAAGGAATAATTACTATTTTAAAATCGCTAAGAAATAATGAAAAGAGCGACTATCTCATTGCGAAAATTTTTTCAATGGAATCTAATTTCAAAATGATAGCCCATTCTTTTCGCTAACTTCGTAAGGATCTTTTAACATTTGCTGTAACAAATCCGCGAAAAAGTTCAAAAATTTCTTTTTTTTGTCAATTTTATAAATGTACGATTTTTTTTCAATTTGACTTATCATTTTGTATTCAATCGTTTTTTTTGTTTTGTAATGAAAATCAAGTATTTTGTAGTATTTAGCGACATTATTCACCGGAATTGTTTCGAATTTGCTATTTGAAGATCGTAATGTATATTACAGCCTAAGACAAAAAAATTGTTTGTGCAGGTCCACGCCTTCGTATAGCCCCATATAACGGTACCTCCCGATAATCGGTATTTTGATGACTGTAGCTACATTATTCACCGATTTTTTTCTAAGTTTCGCATTTGAATATTGTAATGGCTTATGAAAAAAATTACCTATGCAGGTCCATGTCGTCGTATTGACCTTAATATAACGGCTACATTCGGTATTTCTAAGATTTTAACGGATTTTATTGTTTTTGAGAATTGCCAAAGTTCCAAATGGTGGAGAGTATTTAAAGTTCGGCCCGGCCGAACTTACATCTTTTTTACTTGTTGAAATTCCACTTAAAACTGGAGATAAAGCATTTGAATCGGATGTGCTTCCTAAAAATTTAGATTTTATTTGCACATATCTATAGATCGATTACAGATACAGTCTCCAAATTTGGAATGAGTGACGGGATTTGATCAGCAAATATATTTGCCAAATTATATTGAAATCGGTTCAGATTTGGATATAGCCGATTTGATGTTTTTGATGCATTAAACACGCTGCCTACGCCACATTTCAATGAAATTTGGAATGTGTGATGGAATTTGTTAAAAAAAAAATTGTTTGCCAAATTATATTGAAACAGGTACAGATTTGGATATAGCTTCCATACATATTTTCGACCGATTTCGTTTATTTGATGCCAAAACACGATGTTCGATTCCAATGCAATTTGAAATGTGTGACGGGATTTGATCAGAAAATACATTTTTCAAATTATATTAAAATCGGTTCAGATTTGGATATAGCTCCCATATATATTTTCGGCCGATTTTAACACAAATTTGGAGTCAACATCTATTGTTTTGCTCTGATAGCAACTCTAACAAGTTAAAGCCGAACTTATGACCAATTCAGCCATACTCAAAATCCCTGAAAATTTCAAAGTACGGACATCGATTAATCGAATAACAAAGTCTATACCCTCCGTCATGTGGTGATCCAACAGAGCATATGCTGGCTGGCTAACTGTCCATTAAATCAATCTTAACTGCCAGCTCTACACGAAATATGAGGAACAGAATGGAATTGGTGTTATCACGCTAATAGAGAAGAGAAATATTATCAATAAAGATTTTCCTTAGTGGACGAGATATGCGCCTATGCTATCTGTAGGCATACACACATCTTTACACACATGTAGATATAATGTGTGTGTTCGTGTACAAATAATATTATGCCTGTATTTGGCTCCTTAACAGAAAATATGCTCTCGCTTTTTTGACAGTTATTTGTTTACATTCTCGAATGCCACAGCCGCAGGTTTCAGTTAAAATTCGAGATCGGTCGTTGACGGTACACAGGTCGCAATTCTTACATGACGGTGCGAAACATTATTATGTTGTTGTTGTGATCGAACCTAGTGAGCAATATCGTTGAAGTAATTTTATTAAACGTCGATATCACCTTCTTCGCTCATATCTTTCTACGAAATTCAAAAGAAGCTACATACATACATTTTATGTACTTAATTCGGTGTCGAATTTTAGCCAGTGGAATTGTTTATAGACTGCGAACGAGCAAGTGACCTTGCTGATATGCTGGAACAGTTGATACGCATAAATAAACATGTGCCGACAAGGAAAATAGAAAATTGGAACGTTTTGTAAAATCTCCAAAAATATTAGATTCTAACGAGAACAGCAATTGTTGACATACGCGGTCATTTAAAACAGAATAAATACCATTTTCAGTGATTCTCATATTCTCTCCCTTTTGCATTCAATCGCAAACTATTTCTCGTACAGATTTTGTTGTAGCTTCAGTGATTATATTATATGTGTACATAGTACAAACACATTTATATTGTAACTTACATATGCATGCACATATTTACATACCTAACAACGCCTTCACTGCACAAAGGTACATACGCATTGTTTGGCATGCAGACGATGTTTTTTCATACATCCTAATATAGGGGATTATAATAGGAGCCAATCTACAACAAAGGAGGATCGACAAAATCAGCAGCAAAGGATATGGGCCCTTGTCATTCCCATCTTCCATTTAAAATATTTTGTAAAATATCACAATAAACTATTTCAACTATTGGAAAAGTCACTGAAAGCGTTACCTACAATTCGACATAGCGCACAAATATATTCAACTTTCCCACTACAATACATCGTTTTGTGTGTCCGTAAGGTAAAAATCGATCGTTTTTAAAATTCATCCAAGGGAGGCAAGGCCTCTTTTTTTGGAAACTTTTCAGGAAAAAAAAAACAAGTAAAAAAGCAGCTCTGCATTTTTTATCGTTATGTCTTGTCCTCTTACAATTATAAAAGGCAATTTGCTTTTAGCATATTATTTTCATACCCTTATGGATTGTAATGTTAGAATTAATATCAAAACGAATTCAATAAGTTGTTTTGTACCAAATAAAAAAAAAAAAACAGGTAAAAACCGTCTCATGCCCTGCACCATTTTTTAATGACTTTTTTGCCATTTAATACAATTCCGGTGAATAATGTTGCTAAAATCATTAAAATACCGAATATCGGGAAGTACCGTTACATGGGGCTATACGAAAACGTGGAGTTACAAAGGGCGACAAAAGTGACTAGAAAATTGAATGAAAGGTCAAGATTTCTTTTCAAAAAAAAAAAAAAAAAAAAATAATAATAATACATTTTCTGTCGTAATCAGCATTTTGATTACAACTGAGTTTGAATATTTCCTAAACAATTGTGTCATATTGTGGAGGGTGTATTAAGCAACGAACCAACTCTTTAGCTCTTTTGAGCCTATTTTCTTTCTGTTGCGGTGTAAGTTCTTGCATTTTTGGAATTGCCCTGAGCTCATTTTTCATGTTGCTGTTTTCTTCCGTCCACTTCCTTGACGTCGGGCTACGCTACCAGTATTACGGTAACGAGCGATGGTACGAGACATAAACGAATATAATTAATCTAAGTCGAGAAACGATAGCAATCTGAAGTTGGTTGCAGTTTTTTCATCTCACCTTACCTAAACACGCTTAATTTTAGTGTTCCAATTGCGAATATCGTATTGAAAACAAAAGTGACTCATTTCTTATTTTACAGGAGTTAGACCCTTTATGGTGGAGCTACATATCTTCTTCTTCCATATCTCTAAAAGCGTAAAATGTTTGTACGTTTGATTGTTTGTTTTTAATTTATAGACTCAACAACTCCTGAACAAATATACTACAGCATAGCCTGAAAGTAACATAGGCTATATAAATTTTTGAAATTATACTTGGAACCGGAGATATAGCATCAGAATCTGAGGTACCTCCAAAAAATTTAGTTTTTGTATGCACATACCATTGATCGATTACAGATATAGACTACAAATTTGTGGTGAGTAACGGAATTTGGAGCAAAAATTATGTTGTCAAAATATATTGAAATCGGTTCAGATTTGGACATAGCTGCGATATATATTTTGGGCCGATTTCACATACCTGATGCACCAAACATGATATGTACACTACACAATTTAATTGAGGATTCGATTATTACTGCAAAGTATGTTGATATCTTGAATTCTAAAAATTTGGCATGTTAATGGTTTTCTCATGATCAGCGGTTCCTATATAAACTTTTGAATGCATTAAAATCAATAGGGAAGCTAGTATAGATATATGACAGAATATAACTCTATTGCGGAGTTGAACTTTTCCAATATATATATATCTTCTTCTTCTTATCTTCTATATCTATAAAAGAGGAAAATGTTTGTTTGTAATTTATGGACTCGAAAACCGCTGAATAGATTTTCCTGCAAAATTTCCATATATACTGCAACATCGCCTGAAAGTAACATAGGCTATATACATTTTTGAATTTCCACTTGGAACTGGAGATATAGCATCAGAATCGGAGGTACCTCCCAAAAATTTAGATTTTATATGCACATATCTATTGATTGGTTGAAGATACAGTCTCCAAATTTGGAATACGTAACGGAATTTGGAACAAAAATAAGTTTGCCAAATTATATTGTAATCGGTTCAGATTTGGATATAGCTCCCATATATATTTTCGACCGATTTCGTTCATTTGATGCCTCAAACACAATATGAATGTTTGATTCCAATGAAATTTGGAATGTGTGACGGGATTTAATCCGAAAATAAATTTGTCAAATTATATTGAAATCGGTTCAGATTTGGATATAGCTCCCATATATATTTCCGGCCGATTTCAAGCATTTGATGCACCAAACACGCTATGTATCCCCAATTTCAATGAAATTTGAAACGTGTGATAGATTTTATCTAAAAAATTGATTTCCCAAATTATATTGAAATCGGTTCAGATTTGGATATAGCTCCCATATACATTTTCGACCGATTTCATGTATTTGGTGGACCAAACACGACATGTATTTCCAATTGTAATGAAATTTAAAATAAGTAACGGAATTGGGAGCCAAAATGAATTTGTCAAATTAAATTGAAATCGGTTCAGATTTGGATATAGCTCCCATATATATTTTCGACCGATTTCATGTTTTTGATGCACCAAACACGCTATGTATCTTTAATTTCAATGAAATTTGGAATGTGTAGCGGAAATTAAAACAAATATACATTTGTCAAATTATATTAAAATCGGTTCAGATTTGGATATAGCTCTCATATATATTTTCGACCGATTTCATGTATTTAATGCACCATACACGATATGTATGTTCGATTCCAAAGAAATTTGGAATATGTAACGGGATTTTGATTAGAAAATAATTTAGTCAAATTATATTAAAATCGGTTCAGATTTGGATATAGCTCCCATATATATTTTCCGCCGATTTCACATATTTGATGAACAAAACACGATACGTATTTCCGATTCCAACGAAATTCGGCATGAGTGGCTAAATTTGGTACAAAAATAAATTTGACAAATTATATTCAAATACGCTCAGATGTGATTATAGCTCCCATATATATACTCAGCCGATTTCACATATTTGATGCACCCAAAGCGAGAGGGACAAAATCTGGCACCAGCAAAAATTGCCAAATTATATTGAAATCAGTTGAGGTTTGGATATAGCTAACATATATATTTCGGCCGATTTCATACATATTATGCACCAAACACGATATATATGACCGATTCCAATGAAATTCAGAATGTGTGGCGAAATTTGGTTATAATAATAAATGTGATAAATGAATTGGAAATTAGTTAAGATTTGGATATAGCTCCCATATATATATTATCGGCCGATTTCACATTTTTGACGCACCAATTTCAATGAAATATGAAAGGTGTGGCGGAGTTTGGTGTAAAAGTATTTTTTTTTAAATTATATTTAGATCGGATCAGATTGGGATATGATTTTAATAAGAACCATTGACCCACAACGCCTTAGGCTAACACTAAAAAACAACACAACAATTGATTTGAAATAAGCTTATTACGGCGAAGTATGTTGCTATCTCGAATTCACTAATTGCAATAGAAATGCCACTCAACTTCAAAAGATTGCAGTTTACTGCACGCTTGGTATTTGCTATGAAATAAATAAATCCGAAGGACAAACCCTTCGTGTATGTATGTCATGTTACTGCTTTTCCAATGGTTTTGGTTATTTACGCATTAAAGTAGTGCAATATATTTTTTTTAATTTTTAAATTTGTTTTTTTTTTTTAACCAACATATATTCGTAAATAAAATTTTGAATGCATATAAAATCAAAAGGGGTAGCGAAGCGCACCGGGTTCAGCTAGTATATATATTTATATAATATTTATATATATATATATATATATATATATATATATATATATATATATATATATATATATATATATATATATATATATATATATATATATATATATATATATATATATATATATATATAAATATTATATAAATATTGCGACGTGCTAGGTTTGGACTGTGCTATGTTAATGGAAATTTTGGGATGTACCAAGTCTTCAATAGATTCGGATGTCAAGTTCGTCAAGTTATATATATATATATATATATATATATATATATATATATATATATATATATATATATATAAATATTATATAAATATTGCGACGTGCTAGGTTTGGACTGTGCTATGTTAATGGAAATTTTGGGATGTACCAAGTCTTCAATAGATTCGGATGTCAAGTTCGCTTTTTATGAGCTTCATGGATATTCAATATTTTGAGCCTTTGTAGGGAAGGTACCAGAAGGAGTGGACCGATTTATCCCACCTTCACAACGGATCTTTTGTTAGTGGAAATAATGGAATGTGTTAAATATAAAGATAACCTGACGCTTATTTCGGTTATTCAAAACTTTGACCTTTTGTGGGGGAGGTACCAGGAGGAATGGTCCGATCTCTACCATTTTTTTTAACAGATCCTGTGTTGATAGAAATATTCAGATGTGTCAAGTCTAAACGGAATCCGATATTAATTTCGCTTTTTATGAGCTTTATGGATATTCAAAATCTCGACCTTTTGTGGGGGAGGTACCTGAAGGAATGGACCGATATTGTCCATTTTCACACCTGACCTAGCTCTGATGCAAATATTTGGATTTGCAAAGTTGGGGCAAAATCGGATTATCATTATTTATCTCTTTCTGTGCAAAAAAATATATATTTTGTTTTTTAAATTTCGGCCATTTGTGGGGGAGGTACCAAAAGGAGTAGACCGATATTTTCCATCTTAACATCAGACCTTGGGTTAATTTAAATATTAGTATGTGTAAAATTTGAGGACAATCGGACTCTTACATCACATTTTATGAGAGTTGTAATTATTTAAAGTTTTGACCCTTTGTAAGGAAGGTACCGAATGTAGTGGACCGATATTGTCCATTTTGACACCTGACCTAGCACTGACGCAAATATTAGCATTTGCAAAGTTGGAGCAAAATCGGATTGTCCTTTTTCTTTCTGTGCAAAAAATATATTTTTTGAAAATTTCGACCTTTTGTGGGGAGGTACCAGATATTGTCCATCTCCGAACTCGATCTAAGTTTGACAAAAATATTACGATGTACCAAGTTTAGACCAAATCGGATACTCCCTTCGAGAGTTATCGTGTGCACCAGCCAGACAGACAGACGGACGGACGGACATCGCTAGATCGACTCCAAATGTTCTGAAACGGATTTGGTCCAAAGAGACCTAGGGTCTAAAACCGTTATTTCGACTAGGCACGT